CCGAGCAGCGCAGGGCCGGCGGAGGGGTGGGCCCGGCGCCTGTGTGTGAGGGAAGTGCGGGGGGGGGGAGAAGCCGCGCCTTCCCGCCTCCGCCACCCTTCCTCCTCCTCCCGCCCGCCCTCTGTGTGAGGCGGGGAGCGGGGCCCCCTCTGAGGCTGAGGGGAGCCGGGGGTGTTTTGGTCCCCCCTGAAGCGTTTTGGGGTTGGCCGGAGGATGGCTGAGGGCAGGAGTCCTGCTTTTGTGTCTGGGGTTGAATGCCTGCGATGGCGCTTCCGTACAACACAGGTTGTCCAGGTGTTTCAGTAATTCAGTAATTCTTTTATGAATGTTTTCTTCGCACCCCCCCCGCCTCAGCCATCCCACCCCCTAAGCGTTGGAGTGGATGGGGTGAGGAAGGTTTGGTTGAAATAAAGAGTATGGAAAGTGGAATTGCTTTCCTGCTTTTCAGAGAAAAGGGTGTTGAGGTTTTGTTGGTGGTTTTTGTTGGGTTTGTTTTATTTTTTTCCTTTTTCTCCGCTGGATGGTTTATTTGTTAGCGACTTCTTGCAATCAGCAAGTTAATTACTTGGAGATTTGTGTATCAGAATATGCTGAGTAGTGCGCATGAAAGGACAGAAACGTGATAATAAATACTTATTTCTTTCTAAAGCTCCATGTTTTTTCATTGTGACTTGAGTTTTTTAGCCCTTTTGACACTTAAAAAAAAATAAAATGGTAACAGCTGCACATTATCAGGAAAAATATATGCAAATTAAGGACAGGAGTTGTGCTGTGTCCGAGTGGGTAAATACATTCTCCAAACCTGAACGAGGGAGGAACTGATAACCAATGGGTTAAGAAAGGTCACTGTTCATTAAAGTACATGGTCTAGAAAAGATGGTAAAAGCCCCTGAAATAGAAAATACTTAACTTAGAAGAACACCTCTCCAATGCGTAAGATGAGATTTTAGTGAGAGGTAGACTGAGACCGCAGTCTTGTACTCTTATTACTGAATGTAATTAATACAACAAATTAGAACTGCTCGCAAAACACCCTTGGTGGATCACAGTGAAATAAATGATAAATTGCTTGCATATGTCTTTGTGCCCAAAGTTTACAAAAGCTCAGTCAGAGTGGTTATAGTGGTTGAAAATTAAATTTTGTCTCATACTCAAGATAGGTTTGTATTTGTAAATAGCCTGTAGGTTAGCTCACAGCCTCTAACAGAGCTCGAGTATTTAATTTAAATTTCTTTAACATTTTAATGAAGTAATATCTCATTCCTGACAAGACCTATGTGTATGCTTACATTTATGCATAGCTTCATTGAAACCAATATAGCGTAAGCATATAATGTATTATTCAATGGGACTGTCCATATGCATATTTCTTTATTAAAAAGATGAAATCGATAAATTATAAAAGACATAGTTGAAATATTTGAGCCCCATCAGCCTTGTCATTAATGAAATTTAACCCAGCCCTTGCCTGCCTCTTGCAGTGTAGCTTGTTTTCTGCACGTAGCTGCACATATGCACAGTTTCTTACTAGTATAATTACCCTTCTGAAAAACACCTAAGAGTGAAGACCTGCCACCAGCAGGTTGCTAAAAGACAGCATTTTGTATAAAAGAGCATTATGAAAGAATAAACTAAGATCTACAGCTAAAGTATACAATCTGGAGTCTCTGGTGTGTGATTTGAAATTGGTTTGGTGGGGTTTTTTTCCAAGCTGTTCCCACTCAAAGGCTCTCTTCATTGGTGCTGTGTTCTCCACGCTGTCCACCACAGAGCTTGGGACACCTGACATGCACCATCCGGGTCACCCTTTAATCGCCTGGAGATCCCCCACACGCTCCTCATTTTACAGAAGAAAATGTGAGCTGGCAAAATGGAGACACCTCCCCTGGAACAGAGCCAAGGTGGCTTGTGCCAATTTGGGAAAACCCGTGTTGTCCCTGTCTTTAATAATGGGCAGAGGTGAGGGATGCCTGACTAGTGCCTCATCTCGGCTTTGCTTCTGCCACTTTTGCTGTAGTGTGGACAGAGCTTTGTTAGATTTGAAGGGAAATTGTTAGCTGTTTCTGCCAGGAACCCCGTTGCTCCCAGCGTGACACTAATGAGGCAAGTGCCTTTGGAGATTCTGCTTCAGAACTCGGAAGTAAATATGAGTTTGATAAAAACACAGGTGTGCTATCATCAGCGAATTATCATAAATTACCTACATGAGCAGCGCTCAGAGTAAGCACCTGTAGTTATTTAAAATGAATATATAAACTCATCATTTAAATAACCACAGATTTGTATTTAAACGATAGCGATCAATCCACCAAAGCTCTAAGTAAGCTTAAAGAAGTGATAGTCTAAGAGGAGATGGGGGCTCATCTTTTCTGGAAGAAACAAACTGCAGAGGATGGATTAATTAATGTAGAAATAAATTTGGGAGCAGGAGGCTGCAGAGATGACCAGCAATAGTTGTGGCTCTCAGCCCCAGCAGTGCCATAATCAAGCCCCCATGATCACCAAGTGCCGGAGCGGTGCTTCCTTTGCTAAGAAATGAAGAGCATCAGAAAGCAGCAGCAGGCGGTGGTTTTCCTGTTTCTCTCAGCTCCCACAGCCAGACGAGGGGGTGAGAGGTTCTTGGCCTTTCTCTACGGCCGATGCAGCCTCTCTTCGCTGGGGCCAGGGCTGGGTGCAGGTGGCCAGGTTCATGGGAGGGCTGCACGTGTAGGGTCTATGATGGCCTTCATGATAGTTGCAGGCTCCTGGTTTCTGTGCCCTCAAATGTGTTCCTGTATTCTTGCATACACGAGTCCATCTGGACTTTTGCCATGTCCAGGTCGCAGAACCCTACTGATTCCCAGAATATTCAAGAGTTCACCATGTGAGTGTTTTCTGCGCTGCAGAAATGTGTGAAACTCAACGGGAGGATCCGCAGATCCAGAGCAAGGTCACTTCAAGTGTTTTTATGGCCCTTCAGTGGATGTGTCGGAAAACTCTCCTGAATACGTGTGAACAGGCAAACAAAGGCAAACACGTTGACATTTTCTTAATGGAAGGGAATGTTAAAATGTCAATGAAAATGTCACACTTAGATTCCCATCGTGACCACTTGAAGTAAATTCAGGGCCATTTAATGGAGTTTTATTCTACTGTTGAAGGCAAACACACACACACACAACTGTTTAAACAATTTTTTGAACAATTCAGAGCAAATGCTGCTCATCGGTGTGGCAGGAGGAAAGCAAGATAAGGCAGCATGTGTTTAAAGGTGTATTCTTGCTGCTCATTTGGTGACTGGCTTTAAGGAGGACAGGATAAAACTGAATGGGATTTGTTTTGTTTAAATCTTTAAATGACAGCTGGGTATCTCAGAGAATGAAATATTTGGCACCAGGGTACGTGCTCTGCCAATGCTCTGAGTGAGCATCCTGATAGTGTCCTTTCCTATGTGCGTTAATACACGTAGGGAATAACAGCTCTAGCACTGGGTGAAATGTTAATTCTTCGTTTGCAAATGTATGCCAGAACTAGAAATAACACAAATTATGTGAATACCTGTCTACTTGCTATGCAAATACCTCTTAATTTAAAAAATTGTCCATGAACTTTGGACTAATTTGTTGTACAATGGACTTACTTTACAAGGGGCTTTGGAGGAACTTGCCTTACAAATTTGAGCTTGCTTTTGAGTCTTGCAGAGCCACTGCTGGCTAATTACTTTTGATCATTCTTAATCCATACTATGTTTGAACAAGTAACTATGATATAATAGGATTTTAGTCTGGAAGAGCCCTGTATAACTTTTCAGATGAAATGTACATGTTTTTACTTATAAATGCTCAGAGGGACTGACTCAGGAGACTAATGATGGGTAATGTTTCACCTCAGAGCCAGTAGTTTGTTGTGGAGGTGATGGTTATTACAAATGATCTTCTTTCCCTTTGTTCTGTGAAATGGCAGCACTGCTGTATACCAGAGGCGATCCCTCTTGCTAGTCTGCCTGTGCAGCTTTTTCTCTTTTTCTTTTCTCTTTTTCTCTTTCTCTTTTTCTTTTTCTCTTTCTTTATTTCCCCTACTGTATATTCTCTTCTTATTGCCATTGAATCTGTGTGCTAATTGCTTGTAAGGATGGAACCTTCTGTTGCTGTAGTCCAGACTATAGGTTTCCATATGTATTTATGAAAACATTTTTAAAATCAAACTAATCTTTTGATGGGGCTGTCACGGAAAGCTCCCAGTTCTCAGAATCCTTTCAATTTGATTCCCAAGATCCATTTTTTTTTTGAGTTAACAGCATGCCTCTTCTGTATTTTCTTTAAAAGCTACTTGCTCGACTTGAGGGCAGAAGTTCTCTGAAGAATCTTGAACCTTATCTGTTTGCTGAGGAAGGATCTCCTGTTCATGGTAAAAATTTGTCTTTATCCCACTTATGGAAAAACGTTAATCTAAATTCTCAGAGCAGTATGACAGAGATAAGCATACAAGTAGATCTTTTCCCCCTGGATTCAGAATTTTAATTGTTGATTTAGTTTTTTGCAAACCAGATGAAATGGAAAAATGCAAAGTTACCATTCCAATAGGTCCATGTCTTATTTGGATGTGTGTTCTCATTATTCAGTCTTAAATCCCTGTTGAAGACCTGCCTCTCTATTTGTCATGAACTTGACTTTTAGTAGGTCACTGTGGAATACTGTAATATGTTGCCCATGAAGTCCGTACTGAACAGCTCTTAATCTAAAATGCTATGATTAAAGCCATGCAAAGACCTAAATTATTCTTCTTCCTGACAGTATTTGAAACAAACAAACATATATATGAAGTTTCATTAAACTGTCCAAACTTTACATCATAGTTAAGTGTTCATAACGTGTATGTCAGGGTACTATAAAATAGGAACAGGTAATATAGGTACTGCTGTGATATTCTAGTCACTGCTTCTAATTATGATGGACTTGCATATTTAAGAATACATAAGCATATTAATTACATACCATTTAAGCTCTTCTGGAATGGAGCAAAAGTGACATGAGCTTTAAATAATCTTCCACTATTGCCAGTCATATTTCTCCTGTGCCACTGGTATGAAGGTGTGGGTGTCAGTATAAAGCTCTGATGTTCAGCAGTGGTATGACAGCCAACATTAACTTGGAATAAATATTAGGCCTTTCTGCTTCACTTATGCATGGTACAAATATTAGTGACAGCTTCTGCGCAGTATTGTAAATTACTAGTCCAGGAACTTCAAGGTATCTGAGGATGTGAAACCTGCAGAGCTGTTGCCGAGTGTTCTAATAGCCTGTTTGTAACTGCAGTGTCAGGAAATAGTTTAACCAACTTTTGCTACTGTAATGATTACAGACAAAACTTAAGGCTCTTCTCATTCAAAAGATAATACGGAACTGATGGGCCGGGACTGAGCACAATGTTTCAGTTAAAAATATATTAGTGTTACATAAATATTTAAGTTTATTGAACATCATTTAGTTTCTCCTGTGTTGCCATTGCATTGGACTATTGTATTCTTTAGTCTGACTGTAGAGGCCAGTTCAAGCTACCGTGAGCCAAGCAATGTCTCAGATGACTCCTTAAAGTGTACTTCTTGAATTTGTCAGTGCTGAATTTCATATAAAATCATTCTGCTCACCCATGTTGATCTGTTAAATCTTCACAGTTTCAAGTTTTAACCCAATTAGTTTGTCTTCTACACGTTTTGCCAAACTAATGGAATATTCATCTGCCGCTATTTTTAGCATTGGGCAATGCCAATTCTAATAGGAAAATTTCCCATTAACTTTCTTCCATGTTAAAGTGTCGGTTCCTAATCTGCCTCTCAGACTGTTTCCATCCTGTAACAGTATCTCTTTACTAATCCTCCTTTTATAGTATTTTGACATTAATGGATGATGCTAGTACTGATCACTAAGTTTATTCCATGACCTATTGTGATGGTATCAAAGGCTTCTTGAAAACATTGCTGGCCACACTTCCTCCTCTGCTGTGTCATGGTTTGTCCTCTCTGATCCAGAAGGATGAATTTCCCCTCTTATCTTACTCTAACAGCCTGGTGGCTAATTTAATAAAACCCTACATTTATAGATGTTGCTATAAATGGGTTCTGTTTTGCACCCGTTCTTCTTGTGGGCAGCCTCTTTGATAATCATGAAGGCACAGAAATCCCCGGCTCCCTTGAGGTTTTCTTACAGTCCAAGCTGTTACTCTTTTCAGAGTAACTCAAGTATTTTGGTCGAACTACAACCCGGGTGTGTATCTTGCTCAGCAATTTTGAACAAACCTTGAAGGGTGTCTTGCCGTTGAAATGTATGAACCACCACAAAAACTCCTAAGAATGAGTCTTCATTCAACATGGAATTGTTACTGAAATAAATTTGTTAGTTCTGCCAATAAAAGCTCATCCAATGTTATTCTGTGCATTACAGCTCCCTTATGTAAAGTTTTATAGGAGGTAACACGCAGACATCCTGATAAAATATCTTCAAACAGATAGTCAAGCATTTATTTCAATTTATTTGTATCATTACCAAACAGTAACTCAGACCTGCCCACTGCTGCTTCTGAGTGGCCATGCAGAGTGCTGTTTTTTCTAAAACAAGTCATATTTTTCTGTAAAGGTTGGTGAAGCAATCTGTATTGCATAGTGGCCCAATTCTGGATTCAGAAATGCCAGTCAGGGTGGCAGACTTCTTGTGCCAAAGCCAGTGGCACAGAGAAGATATGCTGTGTTCCTCATCAAGAGCTGCTTTACGCAATTATCACAGAATCATAGAATGGTTAGAGTTCGAAAGGACTTTAAAGATCATCTAGTTCCAACCCCCTGCCATGGGCAGGGACACCTCCCACCAGACCAGGTCACTCAAAGCCCCATCCAGCCTGGTCTTGAACACCTCCAGGGATGGGGCCTCCACAGCTTCCCTGGGCAACCTGATCCAGTGTCTCACCACCCTCACAGGAAAGAATTTCTTTCTAGTATCTAATGTAAATCTCCCCTCTTTCAGTTTAAAACCAATACACCTTGTCCCATCACTTCACTCCCTCATAAAGAGTCCCTCCCCATCTCTCCTGTAGCCTCCTTCAGACACTGGAAGGCCGTTAGAAGGTTTCCCTGGAGCCTTCCCTTCTCCAGGCTGAACAATCCCAACTCTCTCAGCCTTTCTTCACAGGAGAGGTCCTCCAGCCCTCTGATCATTTTTGTGGCCCTCTGCTAGATGCACTCCAACAGGTCCATGTCCTTCCTGTGTTGAGGACTCCAAAGCTGTTCTAAAATATTCCAATAGACTTGAAATATGAGGGAATGACCTACCCTGCACGTTTAGGGGGAGTTTTTCCAAGCTGGTATCTCATCCTAACAGGGTGTGGTTATGTCCCTGGCACCGTAAATGTGACAGCAGAGCAGCTGCTGGCTGCAAGTGGCAAAGTTGGACATTGCAACCTCTGAACAGGAAGAGAAAATGAAGATATATGTCATAGGAAGCGCAGTCGTCTTTCGTCTCAAAAGTGGGAAGAGCCATTCACAACAGAGAGCTAAGGGTTTGGCAGGCAATAAAGCATTTTAATAAATTTCAAACATTCAAAAATTCGGGAAAATGGAATTGTAGTTGTGGAGCAGCAGGAATTTCATTATGGAGAGTCGGGCAGTCCAAGTGTTGCTGAAATGGATAGAATTGTCACATCAGGTGTAAATTGCTTTCAAGGCTTGCAATGGGTGAAGTAAGAGCTTAGTTTCTTCCCCACCACCCTCCCCCCCAATCCCAAGCCACATCTTGACATTATATGCACTTATGAACAAGGACATCCTCTGGAAGTTGAGTAATGACTTGAAAAACCCTGTTAACTCAGGCAGGCACAAACACGTTTAAGTAAAGTTGCAATTAATTCTCTACTCTCGCATCCCCCCTATGAAAAGCTGTTATGCCATTTGCACTTGGCAAGGCCATAGAAATCTCTCACCTTCCTGCAGTTACAGTTGTATGATTCTCCTTACTGCATGGCTTTACCCTCCTGCCTAAAATCCAAAATGTCATAAATAAATGATCCAGTTTCTGAAATAAGAAATTTATAAAGAGCAATTAATAAATTAACCTTTTTTAGAGTCTTGTTCTGATACAAGACATAGGACGACTTCGGAAAAGATTTTGGAGTATCTTGCATTCACATCCAACAAAAGATCTGGTTTCCTAGAAAAGCTTAATGCTTTTTTTAATTAACATTTTAAATTTATGTGATACGTATTTTCTTGACCCACGTGGATCAGGCAGTTGGGCTGTGTCTGTTCATGAACTTAGATCTTTTGCCTCAGCCAGTCACGTCATTGCCTGTAGTTCAAGGCATCTGTGAGTCCCCCTTGTCAAAAGAAGCAGTTTTGTGCAATGATCATCACAGAAGAATATAAGTGCTAAATAAATACGTTGGTGTGCTCTTTACTGGTCACAGATTCCTGTTGGTGTCTTGTGACACGTGCAGATATTGAACAAGCATATAGCAGACATGAAATGCTGAGGGACAGTCTGTGCTATCAAAACAGGTGTGCCAACATGATTTGGACCTCTAATATATCAACTTTTTGTTTGTTTCTTTTGCTTGTCCTCTACTTTTTTATTATTAATTTTGTGCAGAGTGTAAATAGATGGTTTCTCAGCCACTTTTGTGTAGCAGCTTCCTTTTCAGCCTTCATCTACCTGTAATGATAGATGAAATCCAGTTGCCAATGTTTTACTGATATCGATGTCCTAGATGCTATTGGCAGGGGTTTTTTTCAACCTTTGTTTTCAGTTGATTTTCTTCACTTTAGAGGCCTTTCTTGAAAATTGAAATTTCTCTTGGTAGGTGCTAATCCGGATTTAAACAATTTTATGAATATCAAGCTTTAAAAAATGCATTTTCCAGTTACTGGAATAGTGAATATTGGTTCAGTAAACACTGAAAACTGTGCTGTAAATTCCCTTACCTGACAGCTTGCTGCTTTGTTTTTGAACAGGAGATGTCATTGAATTCCACGGTGCAGAAGGAACAGGAAAAACAGAAATGCTTTATCACCTAATAGCCCGCTGCATCATCCCAAAATCAGGGGGAGGACTGGAAGTAGAAGTCATGTTTGTTGATACAGACTACCATTTTGATATGCTTCGTCTCGTTACCATTCTCGAGAGCAGATTGGTGCAAAGGACAGAAGAAATGATAAAGCAATGCCTGGGAAGGCTTTTTCTTGTGAACTGCAATAGTAGCACCCAGTTACTTCTCACTCTCTACTCTTTAGAAAACATGTTTTGTACTCACCCCTCTCTCTGCCTTTTGATTTTAGATAGTCTGTCAGCTTTTTACTGGATAGACAGAAGCAATGGAGGCGAGAGTCTTAACTTGCAGGAGATGAATCTGAAGAAATGCGCCAACTTTCTTGAAAAGCTTGTGAGGGAGCATCACTTGGTCCTCTTTGCAACAACACAGACACTTATGCAGAAATCTACAAACTCTGCAGAAAGCTTTTTTCCTTCAAAACTCCAGCCTGAAGCTGATACAGACTATAGACCTTATCTTTGTAAATCATGGCAACAAATGGTAACCCACAGGATATTTTTCTCTAAGCAATGCAGTTCTGGCAACAGCAAAGGTTTTACAGTCGTTTCTTGCCACCTCAAAAGAAACCATGTAGTAAAACGTTCATTTAGTGTTGCAGAATGTGGAGTTCAGTTTTAACTTCAGTTCCTTTTTTAAAAGTATAGCAAATCCTGGTGCCTAAGGCCTGATTAGATCTAAGTGGTTTTTAGTACCTTTTAAACAAGTTGGTTGTTGCTGGGTGATTCAGAATTTTTGTCACCATTTTATTAAAATTGAGTGAAAGGCAGGAAATGGTAAAATTTTTGAACTACTGGAGATGTTCAGTCCAAACTAGCGAAGAATGTTGAAATTACTTGTTTCTGCTTAATGCATAAAGAGATTAAATCAAGAAAATTAGAACCCGAGACATTTAAACTCCTAATATCGTTCAGTCATCTAACCTATGTGATAGGCAGCCAAATGCACTGATTTCATTTCTGGGTCTTAACTGCTTTCCACTCCTCCTCTTCCAAGCTACAGAAATAGGAACCTGCTTGTCCGTGGGGGAGACTGCAAAAAGGCGAGTGTTTGCTCTTTATGAATATTGGTCTTGGTTTATTCCCAGTAGCCCAAGGCACATGAAATGCATTTGCGACTTTGCCTGAAGAAGAGGATTCATTTTCACAGCCTGTTAAGTAGTGGTGATCCTGACCACACTTCTCCAAGCTTGTGGCCTCTCTTGGAGAAAGAAGAAGTGCAGGTGTTTCGACCCTTAGAAACAACTAAGTTTGAAGAATCTACAGCTGTTGCAGGAACAGAGGCCTGATTTCCATAACTGAAGGAAAACTAAAGCCCCAGCTCTGGGTACCCGTGAGTTTGTGCCACATGCAGCAAGCAGTTTAGTCTTTGAAAATAATGGATTGTTTTGGGTGTGGGGGATTGTTTTTTGTTGTTTTTTTTTAAGATGTATGCACAGACATAATTTTTTCTCTTCCCTCCCTCATTCTTCCCTCCCACTTCTTTCCCTTCCCCCACTCTCTCTAAGAAATCCAGGAATGCCATGCCTCTGGTCTTTACCAATATGTATTTGCCACATGTAGAACATTTGTGTGCAGGATTTGGCATGCAATGTGTTGCAATTCTGGCAAAGAAGATTCAGAACTTATGGGAAATGCCCTACAGTTCTGGCAAAGAATTCCATATTATTTATTAACCTAGAGTGCCCTTTGAAAGCTTCAAAGTGCTTTACAAGAAAGAAAATTGCACACAGTACATTCTTTAATACAAAAACTTACATTAGCTTACAAATTTAAATTACTCAAACAAGGGGAAAATATTTCTCACAGCAATATTCGTTCAGTCATGTTGCACAGCATGTTTTATAGTTTAGATTGAACAGATTATTAACAAAAATGCATATTAAGAAGAAGTATCTAGCACAGTATCTTTTTGAGGAAGATGCCTAAAAAACTCTATTGTGAGATATTTACTTTTTAATTTCCTGCCTCCTGAAGCCAGCTTTTTTTAGCTGAATGTCTATCTGGATCCCCAGCAGTGTATAGTTTGGTGCATGCACCCAGATTTCTCTATATAGTCCTAGTAGCGCGTCTGTACTGTTGTCTACAGAATTAGGCTGGGTTTTTGCAAAGATGCCGAGTGTCCTCCTTCTAAGAGCAGCCAGGACCAGTGGTTTGGGGAGGAAAGTGAGAATTATCAGCTTTCGCCGCAGCACGGGGCTCGGGGAGCTCCTGAGCAGAGCCTGCGGGCAGACTGGTCTTTGATGGCCGTTGGTCAGACCTATCCTCCGTGGGTTCATCCAATCCATTTTTAACTTACCCTCTTGGGTCCCTCCCTGTCTTTTCACGATGAGTTCAGTTTAATTAGTCTTTCTGTGGGAAAACTTGGGGTTTTTTCCCCTCTCATTTTAAACCTGCCGTCTGATCGCTTCTTCGTGCTTTCAGTTCTTTTACTGTGGCTCATGAGCAAACTTTGCCTTTTCAACATCTCCGCAGAGGTGATGATTGTACAGACTGACATTTCATTTCTGCTTTCTCTTTTATCACCACCAATATTTGTTTTATTTCAGAATGTGCATAAGTACCCAAATAGATGAAAACCAGACAACTTAACCATTCAGCCTAGACTGGACCCAAGTTAGATGGTTTAACATGAATAGATGCTTCCACTGGGAATTATGATAAAGGACATACTTGCATTTTTTGGTAAAACAACTAGGAAGATTCAAGTAGAACTACAGGACTTTTAAATGTGAAAATTATAGGATTACATAATTTCTACTACAAAAAAAGAAAGCAGTCCCTTTTTCTATCAGAGAATACAGCTCCACTGAAGATAAACTGCTTTGTAAAATCATACTTGCTAAAAAGTCTGTTTGAGAAAAAACAATGGAAATGGTCTGGCATTCCCGTCTGGAAAAAAAAAAAGCTTTTATATTATTCACAATGTAGTTTTATCTTTTGCATTCTACTATAAAATAAATGCCTAAATTGAAATGAAGCCAAAGTTCTAATTGATCAAAAAGAGCACCTCAGGAGATTTTGAAATTTCCCCGTTTTATTTTTGCTTTGAATGCAGACAGATTTTTTTTTTTTAATTCTCTGGTAATTGTAATATTCCTGCTCTGCACATTTGTTTGAGATGTACAGCGAGCCCGGCTTCCAGAGATGCTGAGCGTCTGCGTATCCCTGCGAGTCTGCGGGAGGGAGAGGCCGTACGCACTCTGGGAGAGCACTGACCTTATCCTCTGCCAAAATTATGCCGTTTGGAAAAACGAACCTTGAGGATACAAGTCGAAGAAAGATGCGGCAATGAAGAACCTGGGAAGCAGCAATTTTGTTTGTACCTTAATTACCTGTTGGTATTAAAAATGCCTTTTACCATTTTTTCGGTGGAGTATTTTCTCCATTAAAACTACATAGAAGTTGTAGTTAGTGGAGAATGCAGGTTCTCCTCCTGAGCCAGGAACAGTGGATGAAACATAGCATTATATTTAGTATATAATATTAAATTTGAAGTCTCCTCTTTCACCTAGACCTAAGTTACCACCCAGTCTCCAGCCCACTCTCTAACCCGGAGCGACCGGTGCCGCCACAGCTCCGTCTCCCAGGGAGGAGGCCCCTCTGGGGTTAATAGCTCTGTGCTGCTGGAAATCAGCCCTGCAAAGAGAAGTGCCACTGCATATCATTACATACGGGGATAGATATATTCCTAAACTCTAATTTATCCATTCTTAGAAATTAAAATCCTTTCATGTCAGTTCTTCAGCTCAGTGTCGTATTATTAAGGCTTTTGTAGGCAGAGGAACTTTTTACATTCTTCACAATTTTTGTTTGTTGCTTCATGTGCAACAATGAATTAAAGCAGCAAGCTTGAAATAGAGGAACCAGCTCACCCTTTTTTCCCCATCCTTTTTATAATGAGAGAGCTTTTTAGCAAGAACAAATGAAGGTATTTTTCAGGTTTTATATTTATTTTTAAATAAACCGGTATTTCTATGGACAACTGGAAAGAAAATGTCATTTCTATACTCTGCAAAAAGTTTTTTGTATTCCTAGACTTTTTAATATAGCAAATAAAATACAAATAACACTTTCCTTGCTTTAAATTTCTACTTGCACATAAAATTCAAGTTTCCTTCTTCTTACATAACTGATGCCAGCCAGTTCATTTTCCATAGAGTTTGGAAGTGGCAGAAGATAAAGGTTCCCGTGTGGAAACATACCTGCAGTTGTGTTTTTACTGGAGAGTACTGGCCGCAGGCAGAAGGCAGTACTGTTTTGGTGGATACTGGACATGACTTTTGGACCGTGTCCTGGTGGGGAACGTGACACTGCAGTTATTTTCTGTGGCTGCTCTAATAATTGTCTCTGGAACCTCTTTATTCAAATGCATTTTTGATATGCAAATATCATACTGGGGCAACGGGCAACATCATTTTGCTATCAGCAAGCCTTATGCCAAACTTAATGCCCACCTCAGGAGCCAGCCACGCCAGGCCACCCAGCTAGAGCTTGTGTAGGAATCTGCAGTGAATGCTCACCTGCCTAAAGGCTGCAGACACTTTCAATGTTCAAACAACCCCAGAATAGCACAGGAGTTGTGCGTTTTGTAAAGAAGGGGAAATGCTGGAAGAGCTTGGAAGCTTTTGGCAGTGGAAAAAACTTTCAGGCAGGGGAAGGAGCAGACAGTGCATCTGCACGATCTTCTGGATAGAGAACTCGGATGCCCTGCAGCAGCCTCTGAAATTAGAGGTCTTGCCATCCCTCTGCGTGGAAGAAGACGGCAGGACAGCACTGAGCTATGAATAACGTGCAGTACGACAAAAGGATTCTTGAACTGCTAACGAAGATGTCTAGCATGGTAATGCTTTCAAATATAAAGCTGGCCATAATTGACCTGCAGGTTCTTCCCACCAAGGGACGAAGCTGGTGATGGTTTCCACTCCATAGATGCCGTATAGCTTATTTATAATGAAGATGTAAAACCCTGCTCCTCTGGACCCAGGAGGAATTAAATGTAAAAACAGACTCCTCTTTTTTTTTAAAGATTTTTTTTTTCCCCTGCAGCTCTAGGCATCTTCCCAGCAGTCAGCACTTAGCTCCAAAAGCACTCACAGCTTTCTGTGTCAGGACTGTGCTTTACTGGAAGTGGATAGTTTTCTCCTTTGCTGAGAGTTTATGCACATACACTCTTTGTTACCAACACAGACTGGGATACCCAGATATAAAAGATTGAAGCCGTGTGATGCATCGGTGTGACTGGTAAATAGCTTTGGAGACTTCATTCTGCCTGCAGTTCGGGAGTAATGTCACATTGGAGCAGATGATTTTGAAGAAATGTGGCTGTGACTTCCCTTGGGGAAAGTCTGGCAGCTTTCCCTCTGCTTTCCCACACTTGCTTTCCATCCTGTCGCTGTACCTGTGTGGGCCCTGGCGCTCGGGGATAGCGGTGACAAGATGTCACCTCCTTGCCAAATGCTGGTGAACAGCCACGTTCTGGATCTTGGCACTCTCATACTGCAGGAGTTGGCACAACCACTACGGTTTTTAATTTAAACCATTTGCCAGGATTCTTTCTCATACATCTAGCTGGGCCTGCGCTGAGGACCTCCCAGCCCTGTGGGGAGAGATGAAAGAGAAGGAGTCTCCATTTCTGAGTATAAGGGCAAGATTTTTAGACCATTGCGACAAAAAGAGGCCAAGCGAGGCCGTGAGGTTTCCTGGCAGTGGCAGGGAACATCAAGGCCTCAAAGGTGGCTGGGTGAAGATGGAGGGACACACTCTACATCACCCTCAGCAACTGTCCGTGTTACGGCGATGTGGATCGGATTTTTGTCTTGGGATGTATGTGTATTCTCAGCATAATGCTGAGAGAAGAGTGTGCTACAGTGGGCAGTACTGTCTCTGAAGCGCATCTCAAAAGCTCTGCTCAGATGCCATCACTGGCAGTTCTGTCTCCAGCCCAACATCTCCATGGTCTCCCAGCCTCAGCAGGTTCCCCACGTTGCTCCTGTCAGAGCTCCTTCCAGCTGGAGGCGGGACACAGTTCAACCTCCTTCTGGCAAGTGGGAGGCTGGTGGGAGGCCACGCTGTCCCCATGGCTGCTGAGCAGTCCTGCCCCATGGTGGGGAGCTTACGCTTATGAGGTCATGACTGAACTTTCCCTCGTCCCTTATTTTAACACCTTACCTTTGTGGTTCTGCAGTGAGCACTGCCACTGTCTGCACTTGGATTACCATACGCATCAGTAGCACTTTTCTGACAATAACGTCACATTTTGTGAAATTATAAGGTCCTTGTATTTTCATCTATCAGAAAAAAAGAAAAAGATGCTATTAATACCATTTATGAATAGCCTCAGGAAATGATCTAGAGCAGTTGCACAGGCAACTGTGCCAGTAGAGCCAGGTACCTGAATAGCCCATGCAGTTAAAGGAAGGGACTCACCATCTTTGAACGCACCATGGGGGCATTCAAAATAGGGTTATTCTGCAATCCCGGTCACGACAAACCTTGCAGGCTGACGCTGCGCAGCCCTTCCCCTTGATTTATGTGGCCAGCACCCACACTCCGAGCACTTTAAGCCTGAAGTCCTCAGCTAAAGATGAAAACTTCAGCATCCCCATCCCTCAGAGCAGATGCACTGAAGTATTTGCGAGTGCAGTTGTCCTTTCCGTGGAAGTGTCCCATGGGACGCCATAAGCATCCTAACAACTGGCTGAACTTTCTCCTTGGCTCCCACAGGTGTGGTTAAGTGGAACAGCAGCCGGTTCTAGCCGGAGGCAGCGGGTCTCAGCTGTGTGGGGCCCTCAGCAAAGGCTTCATCTCCCACCATGTCCTCATCTCCCACCAAGGGAGTAAGTGGGACCTCCCTGGACTCAGAAGGTAAATCCTAATGCACTCCATTTTCTCCACGTTCGCCACAGCAACAAATTGGCTTCTCCCAGCAGTGGAAACAGGAATTTCTGACATTTCTTGAGTCTTTGCTGGTTGCAGATTGACTCACAGGGACGTCAGCAAACCACCCCAGTGACCGACCACCAGCAGCACAGCCCAAAGGAGTGTTTCACCCAGAGGCGCCTGCTGGGAGGTCCAGCACAGAGAGATGTTCCTCCTGGCTTGTCTCCTCTCTAGATCGCAATGCTCCAACGTGGTGGCAGGGACTCCAAACCACAGTCCCGCAGCACAGAAACCACCGAGTAAACCCCTTTCTCTCATATTGATCAAATTCCTCAGCTCCACACATGGCTCTGCTCTGGTGGGATCACGGGCCTGTGTTTTGCGTTGAACTCACTTTTGTTTTGTAAAGAAACTCAAGTGGTTTTGCTGCTCTGAATGAAGGACAGAGGTTGTATCTACCAGCTTTGGTGACATTTTCCCCAGGCCTAGGAGTACTGGCCATGAACTGAATGTTAACGAGTCACAGCAGCACAACAGAGGGTTGAGATTTCAAAACAGGCTTTTCTTTTTGTATTTGTTTGGGGTTTTATTGCTGCTACTAATATCTCTTCCAGGAAACAAGATTTCCCAATACTTCCTTTTCTGGGAAGTCATATAATGTGTGTGGTATCCTACCCACAGGAGAATTGAGAGGCAAAAGGCAAGGAAGGGACAGAGTCTCTGGGTTTATTTTCTGGACTGAAGCCATCCTCCAGCTTGGGCTGCGCATTACACGGCAGTGTTCTTCCACTGGTGGGTTGATCAAAGCTATCTATCTCGGGCAAATGGGAGAAGCAAGAGGCAGTACCAGAAGACAGTGCAAGCGGAGCTACAGTCAGAGAGGTATTTAAATAAACGCACTGGATATAAAGAGAACAGAATTCTGCAGCGTCTGAAAGGCAAGAGTGAAACTTTGAACTATTCCTTCTGAATTTGCACTTTTACATACACAGCACGGCCAAGGTACAGCCTGAAGATGGAAATGTGCAGACAGGGAACACCGAGGCTGATTTTCTAGATCTTTTGGTCCCACAACCTGTTTTCTCCAGGAGCAAGGTCTAGCTTCTAGGAAGATAAAGGTAACACAAATGAAGGCGCTTTCTGTTAGGACAAGAAATCACCAAATACCAGTGTTAAAGTCCAAAATGTGCTGAGTTCCCAGTATTTAGAATTGGTGGCTGTCTAATCTCTGCTCTGGAGGATTCCAGTGTCACTGTTGTCCTGCCATTTATTTGAAGCTAAAACCATTGTTCTTGGGAATCAGGTAGGTTTTCAGACTCTCTTTCCAAAAACCATTCAGCATAATTATGGGGTAGAACGTACTAAAACTAAAATGTTAATTTCAGTCCCCTGACTGAAACAGGGTTTGCTGCCTCTAGGATTCTTGTGACCAACACCACCACACAGACAGGACAGGCGGCGTTTCAGCTTGCAAAGCCATGGTGATACAGAACAGAACATGCACAGGGGATGGAGAAACCTTTAGCTCCATCAAGTTTAATGACAACTGAAAGCAAAGTATGTCTCCCATCCCAGATTTCCTCCCTGTCTGCAGCAGCGTGCCAAAGCTCAGAGCGGTCCCACTGTAAACCACAATAAATACAAGTAGAGACTGGAGCCTCATCTCGTTGTGGACTTGCCTTGTTTCCCCACAGGTCTTCTCCCTATTCCATTGGTTCTGATACTCTGGTAATCCTGGGTCTGGTGACATCAGGTTTTGAATGCAGAAGAGAGGTCAGAGGGTTGTCTTGATACAAAGAACCAAACTGGCCCCAATCCTGTGCAACTGTATAAAAGCCTCAAGTGCTCCTGAATAAGGAGCTGCCTTTTTTGTAGACTTCTAGCTGATGGCCTTGTTCAAGTATCCATTTTTAATGCATGAAAAGAAACATAGAAGACAGTTGAGAAGGCAGCTTGCCAAAACTTCTGGCACCAAACAGCGAAGCTTAAAGGTCTGGTTTAAGATGATTTAGCAAACACAAGTCTAAAAGGCTTGAGTATAGTGCAGCTTTGCAAGAACAAGTGGCCTTCAGCCACAAAATGGATTCCATAGTGCTGTAGGCTGGGTCCATGTTCATTTCCAGCCACTAGGTCAAGTCACAGTATTGTTTATTTTCTGGCATTTTGTGTAGTTAACATTCACAGAGCCCATGGTAACCCCAGAGCAACCTATAGATTTAAATGCCAATATGTACAGCATAAGCTAAACAATAAACCTATCAAAAAAAAAACCCAGAATGAAACAATGAGAAGAAGCAGATACAGACAGTAAAAATGGAAACATTTCCCCTATGAATATTAAAAAATAATAATAATTAGAGGCTAATAACTAATAGAAGAAGTCTTACTTGTCCAGAGAGGCTTCTCCTTAAATGGTAACTTGTTACTTATCACCAGACTCTGGATATCTTGGCTGCAACAGACTGTCTAAGCAATGTAGATCTTGTCTGTATTTATCAATTCTCATTGTCTGGCCCTAATGACGTTGTTTAAGTTTGACTTTGCACAGAAGCCCCAACAGAAATGCAGTAGAATATGCTGCTCGGTTGGCAGAACTTGGGGTTGTCAATGCAGTGAAAGGATCTCAGCTGCCCAACCCAAGTTAAAGTTGCCTCCTGCCAATCCACCACGTTAATTCCAGTAAATTGCTTAATTAATGTAGCGAATGCAAACTGTACTCTAGTCTGCACTACAGGTAGCTAGAAACACCCTATTGTACAGAAGCAACAATGCCTTGTTCTTTAACAATGTGGCCTAGATTTTATCTACTCCAAAGAGCTCCAATGTGCACACCCCTTGTAAATTTTCCCATTTCCTTGTCCAGAAAGTATTTCTGGTTAACTATTTTGGTACTCTCATTTATATTCCCTATTTCTAGAAAGGCTCATGCATATGTTTAATGCATGAATGGTTCTGGGGAAGTCAACGGGAAAATTTATATCTTTAAAGTTAAGGGTGTGCATACATCTTCACAAAGTCAGACTGGACTTTGCGTCTGTACCTAAAGCTTTTCTCCAGCTGTGTCCGCCAGAAGAACATACATACCTGAACCAGATTTCTAACAGCAGACAGTTATTCCTCCAGCTGGAAACTCCAAATCCACCACTGGCTGTACAATCATCTCATACAGCTGTCTTCCTTTTTCCTACTTCTTTCCCAAAATACTCAGAACATGGGGCATTAAAAAATTGTTGTGGTGGTGAGGAGAGCACCTGGAGACACAGAGCCAGTTGATGATAGTGGAGAAGGCAGGCTGGGCTGGCAGTTGCTGTCGTCTCACATCGTGATTCAGGGGCCTGTCACGGTGCCCACAGGGTCACTGTGCAGAGGCCAGTGTCCCATCACCAGGCTGTGGTGACCCACACTCA